TAAAAGTAGTGTTTTTTTTATAGAACGCCATAAAAACGACACGATACGTGATGTAGAGTTTGTTATGGTTTACACTCAACACGACCTCACGCGTGATATTACACATAAACTGTTCCCGAGGGCACGTCTATATACCGAAGGTTGAGTATACAATACGGTCGCGCGTGTAATACTACTTACAAAATGTACCAAAATTATTTTAAAATTCCCCGTGTGTAATACATTACATGAACTCGTATTTACAACCTCATATTAATTTCTGGGATACGATACAATATAAACCGTACATCCTCACGTGCAATTCATATGTAATTTACACAAAGTAAGTTTACCATCGACAACACTCGGAAATCATATACACTCACTAAGGTTATTTATAAGTTAGTCATCAACAAACAACGCACTCATGTCATACATAATGAATATAAGGTCACCATAAAAAAAGGTCATCTAAAAGGAGACAACCAACGTCACAATAAGGTCAAACATAAGTCTACAATCACTAAGGCCATTTAAAACGTGACCATCAGCTACACAATAAGATCATATAGAGTGTCACTTTCCATATGTAAATGTTAAATAGCTATGAGGCCACTATTGTCTAAAACACACAGCATTCTGTCTGGACTTCAGTTCACAATGGAGCCACGTGTTGACACTTGTTAACACGGTAACAGTTTGGCTGAATTTGTATTTATTACAACTAACTATAATAATTAAATGGAAAATTTACCTAGTTTATATGTATCTCTGATCCTCTCAGCACATGCAAAATATGTATATATATATATAAAGTTATATCACACGTGTAAAGTCTACATCACATGTGTACAAGCTATTTCATCCGTGTACTAGCTATATAATCCGTGCACAAGTTATATCACCCGTGTACAAGCTATATCACCAGTGTACAAGCTATATAGTCCATGCACAAGTTATATCACCCGTGTACAAGCTATATCACCCGTGTGCAAGCTATATGATCCGTGCACAAGCTATATCACCCTTGTACAAGCTATATAATCCGTGCACAAGTTATATCACCCGTGTACAAGCTATATCACCAGTGTACAAGCTATATAGTCCATGCACAAGTTATATCACCCGTGTACAAGCTATATCACCCGTGTGCAAGCTATATGATCCGTGCACAAGCTATATCACCCTTGTACAAGCTATATAATCCGTGCACAAGTTATATCACCCGTGTACAAGCTATATCACCAGTGTACAAGCTATATAGTCCATGCACAAGTTATATCACCCGTGTACAAGCTATATCACCCGTGTGCAAGCTATATGATCCGTGCACAAGCTATATCACCCTTGTACAAGCTATATAATCCGTGCACAAGATATATCACCCGTGTACAAGCTATATCACCCGTGTACAAGCTATATCACCCGTGTGCAAGCTGTATTATCCGTGCACAAGCTATATCACCCGTGTGCAAGCTATATGATCCGTGCACAAGCTATATCACCCTTGTGCAAGCTATACAATCCGTGCACAAGCTATATCACCCGTGTACAAGCTATATCATCCGTGAACAAGCTATATCAACCGTGTGCAAGCTATATGATCCATGTACAAGCTATATAATCCGTGCACAAGCTATATCATCCTTGTACAAGCTATATCACCCGTGTACAAGCTATATCACCCGTGTACAAGCTATATGATCCGTGCATAAGCTATATCACCCTTGTGCAAGCTATATAATCCGTGCACAAGCTATATCACCCGTGTACAAGCTATATCACCCGTATATAAGCTATATCACCCGTTTACAAGCTATATGATCCGTTCACAAGCTACATCAAACGTGTACAAGCTTATATCACACATTTACAAGCTATACCATCCGTGTACAAGCTAATATCACACGTGTTCAACCTATATATCCCGTGTGCAACCTATATCCCCCGTGTACAAGCTATATCATCCGTGCACAAGCTATATAACCCGTGTACAAGCTATATCACCCTATGTTAGCTATATCACACGTTTACAAGCTACACCATCCATTCACAAGCTATATCACCCGTGTATAAGCTAAATCACCCGTATACAAGCTACACCATCATATCGCAAGCTATATCACCCGTGTACAAGCTATGTTACCCGTAAATAAGCTATATCACCCGTTTACAAGCTATATCATCCGTTCACAAGCTACATCAAACGTGTACAAGCTTATATCACCCGTGTACAAGCTATATCACCCGTATACAAGCTATATCACCCGTGTACAAGCTATATCACCCGTAAACAAGCTGTATCATCCGCGCACAAGCTATAACACCCGTTTGCAAGCTATATGATCCGTGCACAAGCTATATCACCCGTGTACAAGCTATATCAACCCTGTGCAAGCTATATGATCCGTGCTCAAGCTATATCACCCGTGTACAAGCTACATAATCCGTGCACAAGCTATATAACCCGTGTACAAGCTATATCAACCGTGTGCAAGCTATATGATCTGTGCTCAAGCTATATCACCCAGGTACAAGCTATATAATCCGTGCACAAGCTATATCACCCGTGTACAAGCTATATCACCCGTGCACAAGCTATATCACCCGTGTACAAGCTATATCACCCATGTACAAGCTATATAATCTGTGCACAAGCTATATCACCCGTGTACAAGCTATATCACCCGTATATAAGCTATATCACCCGTTTACAAGCTATATCATCCGTTCACAAGCTACATCAAACGTGTACAAGCTTATATCACACATTTACAAGCTATACCATCCGTGTACAAGCTATTATTTCACCTCTACTTTATTTACTATCTATAAAAGTAATTGGTTAAATCGAATATATCCCCACTTTTGCCTGAGTGTGTTTTAGTCCTGTGTGTTAGTCTGTAAACTAAAACACAATTACACTCGGGTGTTTCCGCCGAGCCAATCAGGCGAGAGGTGGGCGGAGCTTGTTACCAAACTCGGCAGTGACGCGCGAGGTGGACGGAGCTTGCTGCCGAACTCGTAAGCATTTGCCTCCATTGCCATCAAAAAGGTATTTGGGACGTGAAGCTATACAGCTTATGATTTACAAATATTTTTTAGTTAAAACTATCTCTCCAGTGTGTATCGGTATAATAAAACGGTTAAAGTATGGGGTTGAGGCATATAAAGTAAGTTTCTGGTGTCCCTTGACCATGCCTATTTCCCTCGGCTTCGCCCCGGGAAATAGACCTGGTCTCGGGACACAAGAAACTTGCTATATCCCTCAACCCCATACTCTAACTGTACAATATCACACGTGTTCAACCTATATCTCCCGTGTGCAAGCTATATCACCCGTGTACAAGCTATATCATCCGTGCACAAGTTATATAACCCGTGTATAAGCTATATCACCCTATGTAAGCTATATCACACGTTTACAAGCTACACCATCCATTCACAAGCTATATCACCCGTGTACAAGCTAAATCACCCGTATAAAAGCTACACCATCATATCGCAAGCTATATCACCCTTGTACAAGCTATATCACCCGTTTACAAGCTGTATCATCCGTGCAGATGCTATATCACCCGAGTACAAGCTATAGCATCTTTGCACAAGCTATATAATCCGTTACAAGTTATAGCATCCTTGCACAACCTATATCATCCGTGCACAAGCTAAATCACCCGTATACAAGCTGTATCATCCGTGCACAACCTAAATCAGCCGTATACATGCTACATCATCATTTCGCAAGCTAAATCACCCGTGTACAAGCTATATCACTCGTGTACAAGCTATATCACCCGTATACAAGCTATATCACCCGTGTACAAGCTATATTACCCGTAAACAAGCTGTATCATCCGTGCACAAGCTATATCACCCGTATACAAGCTATATCACCCGTGTACAAGCTATATCACCCGTATACAAGCTAATATCATCCGTCACAAGCTAAATCACCTGTATACAAGCTACACCATCATATCGCAAGCTATATCACCCTTGTACAAGCTATATCACCCGTTTACAAGCTGTATCATCCGTACAGATGCTATATCACCCGTTTACAAGCTATAGCATCCATGTACAAGCTATATCACCCGAGTACAAGCTATAGCATCATTGCACAAGCTATATAATCCGTTTCAAGTTATAGCATCCTTGCACAACTTATATCACCCGTGTACAAGCTATTTCACCCGTGTGCAAGCTATGTCACCCGTGCACAAGCTATATCACCCGTGTACAAGCTATATCACCCGTATGTAAGCAAAATCACCCGTGTACAAGCTATATCATCCGTTCACAAGCTACATCAAACGTGTACAAGCTTATATCACACGTGTATAAGCTATATCATCCGTGTATAAGCTATATCACCCGTGTACAAGCTATAGCATCCTTGCACAAGCTATATCCCCCGTGTACAAGCTATATCACCCGTGTACAAGCTATATAATCCATGTACAAGCTATATCACCCGTGTACAAGCTATATCACCCGTGTACAAGCTATAGCATCCTTGCACAAGCTATAGCATCCGTGTACAAGTACAGTTTCTGTATTATCACCCATGTACAAGCTACATCACACGTGTATACGTTATGTCACACGTATACAATTTATATCACACTTGAACAATTTATTTCTCACGTCTACAAGTATTATCACACGTTTTAAATATATACCAAATATGCACAAACTATATCACACGTGTGCAAGCTATATCATTAGTGTGCAAGCTAAGCAGTGTATTACTCTTGTACAATTCATATCACATGTGTACAATCTATATCACACGTGTATCATAAGTATCATATAACACACATGTAAAAATTATAACACGTGTGAAATCAGCGTGTACAAACTGCATATACAAGTTATTAAGTCCCCCCCCCCCCCCCCCCCCACACACACACACACACACACGCCCCACACACACCCACACACCCACACATCCATTATTTGCACTTTTCATTTTATCGCCATTATACCAAACACTACAACCATTACCCTATGTATACCTGTTATGTTCTAAAGCTCAGAATTCCGTCGTTGTGACGTATGCTATACTCGACGGTCATTGAATGAGGTACTAATTCCGTGCTATTAAATCATCACATTCATATGTCGTATACAGAATATAAGGAAGTCCGACCATACCCACGTTATCGGCCATTGTTAACCACAGACGTGTTAATTAACATCAAACTGTTCACGTCATTAGCAAAGCCTCGACACGTGTAAGGACGTTTCCGTGAATACCGCCATCAGGAAGGTCAATGTGGAATACGTAAGGTCATAACACGTGTCTTCGTATGTCTTGGCGACAACACGCACTTAGAAATGTTCCATATACTCCAGAACAATATTACAAGATGCAGACACGTGCAATGGTATGTATACGTCTAACCACGCGCATGGCACGTCATACCGAAGTCACGACATTTGTATGCCAAAACAAAACCAGTACGAGCAGAAAAGTATGCCCGATACACTTCATAAGCAAGGTGCCGTCACTGTGCGTGAGTATGCTCTGTTAGAGTTCTCAGTGCTCAATGTACCAGCACGTGCGTGAGTAAATCTGGGACACGTCATTAGCAAGATCCCAACACACGTGTGGAAATGTCCATTCACGCTTATTTACAGGGCAACTACTACATCGTCGAGACTGCGACACCGCGCACAAGAAAGTACCATCCAAGGTAGACAGTGTACATTTGTAATTTACACAGATTTTGTATAGAAAGACAAATATTTAACCACACTTAAATAAACCATTCTTTAGTAATCGTTAACTCTATGTACATTGTCTTACTTATGAAGCTAACTTTCTGTGGAGTATCTGACCTGTCCAAAATCACATTTGGCGATTAAAAAATGTCCAAGAAAATCGAAAGAAGCAACTTTTTTTTAAATATAGCAGATTGCATGGCATTAACAGATAGTGTGCATATGATTTGGTAATGTGTTAAATATACTATGCAGGGTTTCAAATGAAAACATAATTTCATATATATGGATTACCCTAAAACTACAACTTTTCATAAAAAAAAATTACCTACGTTAATGACACCTGTTATTTGCCAGCGAACGACAAGCATTGATGATTTAGTCAGAGGGCGTGCTAGCTGTCATGAAGTAATCTACAAAACACTCCGTACTAGTAAGACGTCAACATTACCTGTAGTCAATAACGGTCCTCCACTCGCTAATGAGTCCAATAGAATTCCATTGTTGACCGTTTGGGTACCTGTTTAACACAGCTCCCCTTACCGAGACTTGTCGATAGCTCTCCGAGGTAAGAATGAGCATTCGGAGCGCTGGTAGTCCAGGCCATAGGATAGATCGACGGGGTATTGAATACAAACAAGAGCGAGTATCACTACAGGGGACGTTCGTACAGGGTGGACAGTCAGCTTCCCGGGGTAAGATAAAACAAAAGTTGTTGTCAACTCAAGAAAAGCATGGTTAGCGGGCATTTTGGACTATCGAAATGGGGAATTTACAAACCGATATTGTGAACCAATATTCGTGAACCCGTTCCCGTGCTCAGGCTTAATTCTGTGCTTAAACCGAGTTTCTGGTAATATAAGTTGCATATAGTATATGACACTGTCAAAACGTCAAGTTTAGATATTGAAAATGGTTGAAAAGTATCTCCAAAAGTCTTCCAAATCATTAACAAAATGCGACTTTTTATCAGTTCATCACCAAGAACAAGAAATTTGGCTTGGGCAGAGAATCCGAGCTTGAGAAAGAAAACGGTTTCACAAATACTGGCACTGATGTTAAATCATGAAGTCTGTGTTCATATCATCTTTCATGTAACAGGCTGAAATGTGACACCATCAAAACGGAGACTTTGAACACGGTATTCGCTTCTGAAATCTTTTTTGAATAACTTATCACATGAACACAAAACCTGAGTTGAACGCATGATTAGAAACCTTGAGCACGACGAAGACTAACAGCTACAGACCGCGAACAAACCAAACGAGACAGGGTAAAAGGTCATTTGAGACGACTGAAAAATCTTGTGAGACGGAACAACGACTATTTGGCACAGGAGAAAAAGCCAGATGAAAAATAGGAAAGGCCATGTAATACAGACAAAACGTGAGACACAGAAGATTCCGGCGAGAAGGGAGAAGGCCGTCAGTCTTGAAATAAGGCATCAAAGTTGTCTAAAACACCATTAACTTTTGAATATTCAATATTCCAAATACAAATTTTAACATGTATTATTCTATTATTTGTATATTTAATTAAATGTTCAAATCTGACAAAAGTACGAGTACATAATTCTAACGGAGAACGTGTACATTGTTTAAACTATGGTATTACTCTAGTCTTCATCATTTTATCAATGTATGCATTTTGATGAAAGCATTCCGGTTCTCAAACTACTGCAAACACGTTTGATAACGCCAGGAGAGTCCTACGGTGTGGTATTCCACACGCTGACGAAAGTAAACATCGGCGCGTTGTTCTTGGCCAGCCAGTTTATAGGAAATCGTCGAATTTGACTTCCGTAAAATATAATATGAAATATTTGACAAGGAAACTCCACTACTTATCTCTGAATAAATACGAGCAGTGTAAACGTGTCGGCGTAGTTCGGTTGTGGCTGACGCCGGTATGTGACAGAGCATGCCAGGCTCGGAAACACTTCACACATGATTGTCCTTTCTCCTAACACGGTGTTATGTCTACAAAACATACAAGTCGGCGGATTTAGTGTATGATCATCAGGATGTCAAACCTGCCATATTTTTATTTATAATATTTGTGAGTGGATATCAAGTTTCGTATATCGCCAAATTCCGTAGGTAATCGTCATGTTTCGAAAGTTATCGCTAGATTTCGGAACTATACATGATATTGCAACGTTTTGTCTGTAATACATGTCGCCATTTTCTACTTTATACAAAATACACACATCCTTATCTTATATTTTTCCAGTACTAGACCATCCATAAAATGGCAAGGAAAACGCCACATTCACGCAAACTTTTACTTTTAGTGGCAGGGATATCTATTGGCAGTCAGAAACGTATAGGGAGGGATCTTATTTGAGAGAACTCTACACTCCGACATGTAGAGGGAGGGAAATCATTTGGTAGAACACTACACTCAGACATGTAAAGGGAGGGAAATCATTTGGTAGAACACTACAATCAGACATACAGAGCGAAGATTATCATTCGGTAGAACACTACACTCAGACACGTACAGAGAGGGAACTCATTCGGTAGACCACTACACGCAGTTACGTAGAGGGAGGGAACTCATTCGGTAGAACACTACACTCAGACACGTACAGGGAGGGAACTCATTTGAGAGAACACTACACTCAGACACGTACAGGGAGGGAACTCATTTGAGAGAACTCTACACTCAGACATGTCGAGGGGATGAAATCATTCGGTAGAACACTACACTCAGATATGTAGAGGGG